CTTTTCTGGTCTAGTCTATGTGGTGTTCTGTAGGCCTCTTGTATGTTTATGGACATCTCTTTCTTTAAGTTGGGAAAATTTTCTTTTATGATTTTCTTGAAAATATTTTCTGGACCTTGGAGCCTATTCTTATTATTCTTAGATTTCATCTTTTCATGGCATTCTTGACTTCTTGGATGTTTTGTATTTGGAACTTTACTGACTTTGTTTTTTCTTTGAGAGATGTATCAATTTCTGCAACTGTATCTTCAGCGCCTGAGATTCTCTCTTCCATTTCTTGTATTCTGTTGGTGATGCTTACCTTTGTGGTTCCTGATCTCTTCTCTAAGTTCTGCAGCTCCAGGGTTTTCTCTGTGTTTTCTTTATTGATTCTAATTCCGTTTTCATGTCTTGCACCATTTTCTTCATCTGTTTGAATGTGCATTCCTGTCTTTCTATGATGGTCTCTATATTTTTGTTCATTTCCTCTCTATATGTTACTAATTGTGCCTCTACCTGTGCCTCTATTTGTTTGGCTATGTTTGTCTGTGTTTCTTTGAGAGCTTTGTTAATTTCTTCTTTATGTGCCTCTAATAACTAGATAAGTATAGCTTTAAAATCATTTTCCTGTGTTTCCAATGGATTAAAATATCCATTTATTTTGGGGTTTGCTGGTGAAGCCATGATGTTCTGATTTTTGTTGGATGTGTTCTTATGCTGACCATCTGCTTATCTATAACCTTCACTGTTTGTTCCTGGAGTCTGTACTTCAGACTCGGTCTGTTTGTCTCTGGTGTCTGGAGTATTCTTCAGGAAGATGTGAGAGGTCCACTGGTTTGAGAGTAGATGTTGGTGTTTCAGCTATAGCTAAGAGAGGAAGGTCGCAGGCACATATGGGCAAGTGTGGGCATGTTTGTGGCAGTGTGCATTGAGGGAGAGGATGCTAGAGCTTGTACATGTCTGAAGGGTGGCGCTTAAGTGTGCAGGGTGGGTGGGGGAGGGTGGGGGAGGTGCAGATGCTGGCACTGTTCACAGGTGCAATGCACATGCCTTGCTGTCCTGAATACCTCAGTGGCCTACAGGCCTGTTGTACTTTCCTCCTGGTATTTAGATCTGTCTGGGCTCCAGGAATTGTTTGCCTGGACTCCACTGGTAGACCCACAGAACAGGAGCTTCAGTGTTGAGAGGCTGTCCCAAGGATCCCTATGTTGTCCACAGTGGGGGTGTGACCGGAAGGGATCAAATGTCTGGCTGCTAGCACAGAGGGACCCTACTTCTGAGGCTCTGCAAGCACTCACTTAAAGGTGCACTCGCTTGCAGGTCTAATCAGAAAGCACAGGGGGTCCTCCTGTTCTCTACTCTCAGATTTGGGCCCACAGGGGCAAATGAGAGCATAGGAGATCCAAGCTCAGTGGTGTCCCCTGTTTGGCTGCCAGGCAGCTATGCCTCTGTAGCCTCAGTCACAGAGTGTGCAAGGAGGATCCTGCTCATACTAGCTGATGCTTCGGCCCAGCGGCAGCTCTTGGAGGCCTGCCTGTGCTGTTTCAGTCACTGAGTGCGCAGAGGCTTGAGTTTGGGGCAATCACTACAGTCCCAGGCAAGCAGACTCAGTGCTTGGGGTAGAGGCCATGGCCGGCTGCCTTGCCAAGCACGGATACCCATGCTTGGAGAAAGGGGAAGTCAGGGGGTTGGCTATTCTCTACTCTCAGTCCTGGGAGACGTCCACAGGTGACCTGGATCTAAACTGTCCCAGCTCATGTGTTGTCTCCTCTCACCCAGGAAGCCTCAATGTGGATGTTCTGGCTTCAGCTGCCCTTCCACTCACCAATTTCTGAGTTTCCGATTCTGTGTCCCTAAGATATGGTGCACGCTGGTTGCTGCCATCTTGGAACCATGCCCTCTCTTGTCACTTTCAAAACATTTTGTTTTGCTTCTATTTTTAGTGTATTTATTGTAAAATAAGAGTTTTATGGTTTTACCTGCTTGGTACCCTAAATTCCTCCACTGAATGGATTAGAATCTCTTTTCCTAACTCTGGGAATTTCCCTTTATGACTCTTTTGAAAATATTTTCTATGCCTTTAAAAAGATTCTTCCACTTCTATTTTCATTACCCACAGATTATTATTTTTTATAATGTTGTGAGTATATAAGAATTCTTACTTATACCTTCTTATTATTCTATCCTTTTCCTTGCATTTCTTCAACTTCTACATCTTGAAAAAATCATCTATTGTATGCTCTCCTTGATTCAATCTATTATTAAATTTTCCACAGGGTTTTTTTATTTGATGTGTTATATTTTGCATTTTCAGCATTTCAAATTGATTTTTCTTCAGCATTTCTATCTTTTTCATGAATTCCTCTTTCATATCTTGCATTACCTTCCATAGTCCACTTAGCCATTTGGGTTTTCTATCTTCTTGTTTTCTTTGATTTCCATAAACATGTTATAACCTTTCTTTGTAGCTCTCTGTCTGGGATTTTGTCTATCTCACTCTCAGTTATTATGTTATTATTGTAAGCTTAGTAATTTGAGGAGGAGTTATTGCTTTGGATTTTCATATTTTTTAACTTTGATGTGTTAGAGATTTATGAATTGGAGGTTTTTTCATTGCTTAAAATTTTAACAACATTTTGTCAGTTGAAATATTTTCAGTGTTATAGTGGGACACGGATGTAGTCGATCTGAAGTTTATATTCATCAAATAGTTCCTAAGTCTAGTAGCACGGAGTGCCCAGTGCTCACTAAAGATTATTACCTGAGTAAGTATTAACTATTAACCACCATTTGCTGTGTATTACCACCATGCCAGTGTTATACTTACCTATACAGTGACACCTCCAACTTAAATAACTATTGAAAGATAAGCAGCCAAGTAGAGTACACTGTATACTCAGATTTCTGTTAATAAAATTAGGAATGAGAGGGAAGTATGGTGAGTTGAGAAAAGGATAAATAATTTCTTTCAAAGGAAAAAAGGCAATGTGGTTAAAGTTGCTAGGAGATTTAAAAAAAATTCTGACATATTGTTAGACTCAGATTCCAGAGGCCATAGAAGTTATGGAAGGTTATTTAGGAAGTAAAAGAAAGAACAAAAGGGGAAGGATACAGGAATAACGAGGAAAGCCTAAGAGATGTCAATAAAACATGTTATGAAGAATGCCTCATAGAGAACACATCAATCTTAAAACCAAACTGAACAGCCTACAGACAAAAACAAAAACATGGAGACAAAATAGTTTGGTTTGAAATGAAATAAAAATAGAAGGTTTGAAATAAAAATAGTCTCTATGGAGTGAATTTCTGGTGCCATGGCACTGAGTTGTAAGATAGTGTTCTCTTGACCACAGGCTAACCAGAATAGGAGCCAGAGCTGGGAGTCTCTGGTGCCCTGAGGGAACCCAGCAGTAGAACTTGACCCCAATATGCTCTTCTGTCTTACTCTCCCTGTCCACTACATTATTGGGGCTTTTCTTTAAAAGAGCTAGAATCTGATGCTATTTATCAGTTTATGTGCTTCAGTTGAAAGAGGTGACTGAAGGTGAAGATGGTATTGCTCATCATTGTATACTGGGTATGGCCTGGGACAGATTAGGTCCTCCACAGTTGCTTTTGTGGAAGGAAGGAAGGAAGGAAGGAAGGAAGGAAGGAAGGAAGGAAGGAAGGAAGGAAAAAAGACAATAGCGGTATGCAGGGAGTTGTATGTATGGAAAGTTGTCTGGGAGCACTGGCATTTAAATTTTAGTACCTAACAAACAACCATTGTGAACAGTGACCAAACCCAAAGAGATACCGCATCAGGAAAACCACACCTTTGGCTTTTTTCCAAACTAAGCTCAACTTCATATAGCTGCTGACTCAGAATCGTTGCCTCAAAAGCCAGAGCACCCAGGAAGTACACACACTCCTATAAGGACCCAGAATTTATCACCCAGTCCAGAAGATGGAAACGAACACTTCCATTTGACAGGCAGTGAACACATACAAAATCAGAAAATAAAGTCAAACAGCACCAATTGAAGATGTTTATATTTAAAAAAGGTATGGGGTCACTTCCAGGCAAGAAAGTAATATTAATTAATCAAATAAGCAACAATTTGATCTTTTAGGGGTGTCTATACTACAGAGATCTTAAGTTAAATAAGTAAGTAAGTGTCTCTGAAGGAACAGTTGTAAAGTATCTTAGCCAGAAGTCTCTGTGGCTTTTCTGTGACCACAACATCAGTACTGGGTCTTTTGGCACTAATTCTGCTTTGATTGTCATTCAACATTAAACATTAAATATCTCATTAGGTTCCAGGTTACATTAAAAGAAAAGACTTCCCAATCAAATTTCCTTGAATGTATACAAGGTGAAGTCTAGCCTATAGCATTTGTGATGGATACATTTGATGGCTAAAACTTCATTCTGAGGGTCTGTATCATTTTTCATTTCTACAGAGCCATGAGCAGTTCAGAATACACTGTTTCTTCCTTTTCAATTTCGGTTATGTTCTCTAATCCTTGCTTCCATCCCTGCCCTGGAGGGTATCTGGATCAATAGATTTTTTTAAGACAATAAACTCATATACCTCTGAGTCCTCAGAGAGTTGGTACATTTCTGAGAAAAATAGGAGTCAACATGTGTGAGTAGCAAGAGCCAACCTCAGCTTAGCGTAGGAAGTATTACAAGAGATTGGATAAAATTAACTAGCTGGCAGATTTCAGCAGAAATCTACCAGGGTTCTGCACATATTAGGAAAGTGTGGAGGGGGCTTGGGCACTAGAATTTCATATTTTATTGTGAACTTGATAAATATTTGACAGCTTGATTGATGGTGGCCACCTTAGGGCTCAGATAGAAAATAAATGGACACATAAACAGACTTCCCCTGAGTGGCTGGGTCGATAGGATGACAGCAAGAGAAATTTGCAACACTGGCTCAGAGGTCAAGGACAACAAATATTGGGACCTATTTCAAGGTGAGAGAAAGAAATACAAAAAGGTAAGGCCGGGGATTCTCAAAAAAGCAGACGAGTGAGGCTCATGGGTGTGAGATTAGGGAACTACTGTCTAAATGGAGTGACTTCTAAGCTTACTTGGGCTTCATCTGAAATGCAGATATGAGAAGAGACAGAAAGGATGCCACACAGAGTTAACAACAGAAACAAGGTAAAAGGTCTGGTTGCTTGTTTGTAGGGTTTCCAAACCAGAAAGGAGCAGCCTTGTCATGCCTCCATTTGTTTGCACATTTGTTACAGTTTGGGTTTTTCTTTTTTAATGCTTCTGCTCTGTTATTTTAATTTTTTTCTTATAATCTTAAAGCTATAGTTTATAGCTATGCAGTATAATTATTAATATTATAATTGTGTTAAATATTGTGTTATTTAAAAATAGTGTTATTCTGTCATTTCAGAAAAAAAGTTTAAATGTTATGTGTATAATTTTTTAAATTAATTTTTCTTGTATAGGAAATGACCTTAAGAAACTGTGCCTTATTTTATGCTCTTGATAAGCAGCACTCAATAGAGAAATAACTTTCTACCATTATTCAAGGCAAGTGCAGTGATTGTCTTCCTATACGATAGTGTTTCTGGTCACGTTTGCTGATGGTACCAGGAAAATCTTCAGAATATCTGTAAGACAGGAAAGATGCAACAATTTCTAAGACCATGGTTCTCAATCTTCCAAATGCTGTGACCTTTAATACATGCACTTCCTCGTGCTGTGGTGACCTCCAATCATACAATTATTTCTTGTTGCTACTTCATAACTGTAATTTTGCTACTGTTATGAATCACCATGTAAACACCTGTGTTTTTTGATAGTTTTAGGTGACCCTTCCATGAAAGGGTCATTTGATTCCCAAAGGGGTCCTGACACACAGGTTGAGAGCCACTGTTCTAAGAAGAGGATTAAGCTCTTGCTGTCAATTTCTTGGTTCTGGGTTTGCCACACAAGTGTGGAACTGAATGAGACAGTGATGAATGAGGAGCAGAAGTCAAAGATTGTGACTTCACACACACACAACCACTCATCAGGCATTGCTGGCAGCAGCAACTGAAATCAATGAAAAGCTAGTGGCCAAAGTTGGTAGGAAGAAAAGAAAAGAAATGCTATATCCAAACTGAGTTTCTACTAAACTGGAGGGCATTCTAGTGTCACCAAACAAAAATCTAAGTACATTCCTCTGTCCTCACCAATCAAGAAGATTGCAGATTTGTGCACATGCTTTGTAGAAACTGAAATTGAACTCAGCAAGCAGCTAGTAATGCTAAGGATGTAGAGTCAGCCATATTAGGAGCAAGAATGTGGAAAGCAGGAGCAGCCCACAGCTGAACAGCAGTTCTGATACTAAGGCCCCTGCTAGAAAACCAACATTGCAGTGTAACCTCTGAAAACAAGGGCTATACTTTTGGGGCTTTTCAAAATGGTCAGCGGTTTGGTTGAAATTTTTTTACAGTTTCTGTCACTGATATAATTGCAGCTTCTTAGATGAAAATCTAGAAATTTAAAAAATATATAAGTGTAGTCCTAGAAATATTTCATTTTAGGAGTAGTTAAAAATAATTAATATAAGCCTTCAAATTCATTCTTTTAGCAACTACAATCAACCATTTTAATATTTCCAAAGACGTAAATATAAAGAGCATTAAATCATATCATTTTAAAATCACAACCTTAACTAAATTGCAAAAATCTAACCAAAATACCGAAGTTTAAAGGTCTTAAGTTGAAATAGAAAAGGCATAAAGCTGTACTCTTTTCACAAATACAGATTCAAAAGTGGATATATGTTGAGTTTCCCCATTTATAGTCATTCCAAATTCCTTACGAAAACCAACTTTGGCTTCATTATAGAATTAATTTCTGCTGCTTTGATACAGTTAAGAAGGAATTTTTTAACCATTGAATCTCTCTCTCTCATGTAAACTAAAGGTGAGAATGTGAATCCGAGAAGTAATTGAGATTCCATGCCCAGACTGTGAAACTTAGGAGTGTTCAGAACACTGGAACAGACTGCCGCTGAGGTGAGGCAGAGGCCCAGTCCTGCTTCACCTGATGAACGGTTGATCGAACTGGCTATACAATCTCCATCCTTCACCAAGCCCAGGCGTCAAACTTTTCATGAATCTGTGGACACTTTGGTATCCATTATCTCTCCCATGAATGTTCCTATTTTTTAGGTTTTGCAGATTACTTTCTATTGATTGCAATTGAAATATTACTGTGTGAACCAACAGCTAAAAATATATTTCTATGAATCCTAATGCTGATGATCATGAAATCATGAATTACCAAAATAAAATATAGAAACGAAACAGGAAAATATTATATTCCCAGCATGAAAAACATTAGGTATTGGTTAGGGAGGTTAGATTTGATTCTAGAAATTGATACAATTGCTTATTCACTGAGAAAAACACACCTACATAACAAGAAAGAAGTGATTTAAGCCAGAGAATTCAGGCAGAGATAGGAACTCAGCTTGAGCCCAAAGAAACAGAAATTGACTTTGCATACAAAATAGCATAAATTCATTATCAATGCATCATTTCTAAATCCATTAATATTAAATCTCAGTGATAATACATTTTAATTTTTGAGTTTAAGATCACACTGTCTTATAAATTTTAAAAAGTGGTAAATGCCATTTTGAATTGTTTTTCAGGAAAACTAAAGTATAACTTGAGTAAATTCACCCTTATCACAACATATCAGCCTTTTAAAAACATGTAAAATATGTTTATAAAAACTCTGGCTGACTGTCACAATACTGATAGTCTAGGCACAGTAAACTTCCAATATGTTTTTTTTTTTTTTCTAAAAATAATATCTAACTTTCCAGTGAAACTTAGGAGTGTTCAGAACACTGGACCAGATAATGCTTATTTTTATATTATATATTTTATAACTTATTTTATATTTTATATGATAGCTATTAGCTTTTTATTTTTATAGGACTAGTTGCTTATTTTTTTGTTGCTGTGATAAAACTCCACGACTGAAGCAACTTCTGAAAGAAAGCTTTTATTAGGCTATGGCTTCAGAAGGACAGTCCATACTAGTAAGAGAGGCATGGCAGCAGCAGTCTGGGCAGGAAGCCAAGCAACCACATCTCCAGCAATATAGACAGAGCAGAGGAACCAAAGGGAGAGTGAGGAGAGACTGTGAAATCTAAACCCCATCCCCCAGTGACAAGCTTGCTCTAGCCAGGCTCCATCCACTTCCTAAAGATCCCAGGACCTCCCTAGGCACCACCAGCAGGGGACAAAGTGTTCAAATATATGAACCTTTGGGGGACAGTTCTCATTCAAACCACTACAAGAAGCAAGAATCATTGAAAAAAAAAGGAGCAACCAGATGAGAGAATCATGAAAAATTCAGACGGTCAGCAAGGTCAAAGTTGCTTGCAATGTTATAGTCACTTAAAAAGAAATAAAAATAAACAAAAACCTATATTTAAAAAACTTGATTTTTTTGTTGTTATCTTGATATAATTCCAGTATTAGAAGATAACAACAAAAAAAATCAATGCAACTGAATCATTAAGCTGTTTGAAAACAACATCCTGGGACTAGGGATATAAGAGTATTTGGTGAGATGGGAACAAATGCAGAGGCCTACAGCCAACCATTATGTGGAGAGGGAGCCCAAACTGGAGGTTTCTATCAAATCCTTTCCCTCAGAAATCAGGCAATCTCCTGGAAGAGGGGGCAGAAAGATTGTAAGAGTCAGAGGGAATGGAAGATACCAGAACAAGGCTCTCTGAATCAACTCAGCAAGCCACGTATGAGCGCACAGAGACACAAGCAGCAAGCCCCCGGGTCTATATATGGGTGAGTGCTGGGTCCTCTGCACATATATTATAGCTCTTAGCTTAGTAATTCTATAGGACTCTTCACTGTGAGAATGAGTGGATCTCTATTTACCTGTTCTTGGGACTCTTTTCCTTCTGATGTGTTGCCGTGTCCAACTTCAATATGCTAGTTGTTGCTTCATCTTATATATTTTATTTCTGTCGTGCTTGGCTGTTATCTCTTAGAAGCCTGTTTTTTTCTAATGAGAGACAGAAGAGAGTAGATGTCGGTGGGAGGAGAAGTGATGAGGAACTGAGAGGAGTAGAAGGAGGGGAAACTATAATCAGGATAGACCGTATGAGAAAATAATCTATTTTCAATAATAAAAAAAAAAAGAGTATTTGATGCAAAAACGTAAGGACCTGAGGTCAATCCCAAGCAGCCACGTGCAAAAACTGTGAGGTGCGGAAGCATGTGTCTGTAACCCCAGAACTATCAGAAGACTGAGGCAGAGAGATTAGTTGGTCTTGCCAACCTCTAGCCTACATTCACGTTCACCATCTCAAAGGAGTGAGTCAGGGGAGTTACAGAGCCTCACACCTTTGTCCCACACGTGAACAAAGGCACGTGTACTTGCATACATACATGTGCCGACACCTTTTACATACGCACTGACGTAAAGCAATGAAAACCACGTCATCACTGTGGCCTGATAGAAATATTGTTATTGTCGTGTCACTTTAAGGGTATACACTTGTGAAGTTAAAAGGCTGAAAACTATTGCTAATTTATTTGGTCTCGATTTATGATAAAAACTCAATTGTTATACTATCTTAGCCTTGCAGACCAAGTTTCATCAAAGATATCATGTCATCTACCTTCAACTGAAATCCAATTTCTCATGAAACAACTGAATCCTGAAAATAAAATTGAGGAGAGAAGCAATTTTATCCAAGTCAGAGAACGATGAGGACTCTTTGCCTCTGATGTCTACATAGATGACATTTAGACAGTGTGTTGAAAACTAATTGGCAAAATGGTTTAGAAAGTCTAAGACTTTTATTTCAGAACTGTTCCTTCCAAAATTGATGGCAGCAGAAGGTGATAGGGGAGTCAATGGTAACTGAAGTAATAACTCAAAGATATTGGTCAATAACCAAATCCCAGTATGTTTTTTTTTATTCAGAGAAACATTTAGTTTCTCTCTTCTCCTAAAATGAAAAGTCATTATTCTTAACTTTGCTGAGACATATTTAGGGGACATCATTTTAAAAAACCATCTTCAAATTTATGGTGGCCAATCTCTAATGACCCTGGCTTTCCATGCTCTAGAATCATTCCAAAGCATTACATATGGGATGGATGTTCTCACCAGACCAAACTTCTAAGTTTTTATTTTTAATATTATTAATAAGCAACTCCCATCTCCAGAACAAGGAAAACATTTGTGTTGAGTTTTTCCCTTGAAGAGATTCAAGCCAATGAGATCCTGCCTGAAAAGAAATTTCATATGGATCTGAATAGTCCAGAGAGAGTTTGTTCTGATTGTTCTTTATTAGGTCAGACAGGAATGATTCTGTGCTGTGTGGTTTACCAGTCACTAACAAAGCTACTCGATTCTTTTGTATTGTGAAAACAATCACAGCAACGTAGGAACGAATGGACATAGCTGTGTTCTAATGCAATTTTATTCACCAACACAGAGAGTAAACTAGAGTTATGTACCAATATCTTCTTGAGTTATTACAGTTGTGTAACATTCATCAGACCAACTTAAATTGTATATTTTTGGCTTAAGTGAATTGAATATGAATTCTTGTATTTCATTACGTACTAACAGAATAAAATGTTTGATAATTTTACTTATTCTTCCACTAGTCAGGAACTTTACCTTTTATATTTTTAATATTTATTTATTTTTATTACAATTTATTCACTTTGTATCCCAGCTGTAGCCCTTCCATCATCCCCTCCCAACCCTACCCTCTCTCCCTCTTCTCCTCCCATGCCCCTTCTCCAGTCCACTGAAGGGGATATCCTCCTCCCCGTCCATCTGACCCTAACCTATCATGTCTCACCAGGACTGTCTCCATCGTCTTCCTCTGTGGCCTTCTAAGGCTTCCCCTTATCAGAGGGAGGTGATTAAAGAGCCAGCCCTTAAGTTCATATCAGAGACAGTCTCTGTTCCCCTTACTTGGGAACCCACTTGTAGACTGAGCTGCCATGGCTTTGTCTGTACAGGGGTAGGGCCTCTGAAAGACTCTACCCAGCAAGGTATCAAAGCAGATGCTGAGACTCATAGTCAAACTTTGGGCAGAGGGCAGGGAATCTTATGAAAGAAGGGGAAGATAAAAAGACCTGGTGGGGACAGGAGCTCCACAAGGAGAGAAACAGAACCAAAAAAAATCTGGGCCCAGGGGTCTTTTCTGAGACTGATTCTCCAACCAAGGACCATGCATGGAACTTCAGCTTTTTAGGCTAGATAGTTCTAAATTCTCTGAAAACATATATACTATTACTCTAAATAAACTAATAAAATACATCACCTTAAGATTACATCTTATAGAAAAATAATTGTGGCAGAGATTGAAAAATACAGATATAGATGATCTAAAGATGTAGATAAAGATACTATAGAATATATACAATGGAATATTATTCATCTTTTTAAACAAATTTAGTACTGATAAATGTGGCAACATGTATGGACCTTAAAATCATTACTCCAAGTCAGAATGGCCAACTCCAATGGTCAGACAATTCACAACTCCTGTCATATGAGATATCCAGAACAGCAAACAAACAACAAAATGCAAATCATATCAATGACCATTAGAGAGGCAAATAGAAAATAAGTACATAAGAAGATTGGGTCTCTTTGGATGATGAACAAAGTTGAACTAGAAAGAGGTAGTTGCTTAAAATTGATACAAAAGCATGTAATGCTACTGAGCTCTTCTCTTTAACATGTTAATGTGTTGTGGGAGTTGTATTTCAGTTGTATTTTTAAAAGTCTATTGCCAATGTTTGTTCTTTCCAGTGAAAGAATTTTGAGTTTATAACTCCAAACATCCCTTATCAGTACTCTGATGATTTATTCATAGAGTCCTTTCCCTAAACAAGTGCATATTATATTCTGTCCTGGAGTCTGTTCTGTAAACACAAGGAAAAAACATGCCTTTATCCTTGGGGGAATGGCAAAATAAGTAAAGGACATTGGTGAGTCTGGAATACCATGAAGCAGATGCTTTGGGAATGAAGGAATATATTTTTAAAAAATATAAGAGACTTACTGTAATATGTGTGGGAGGGCAAGAGAAGGGAGTTTAGGGGTAGGGAATGTTACATTTCAGGAATGTACTAAAGGAAATATCAGAGTTCATCAAAGGGCGAAAGGGAAATCAGTGTAAAGGCTCTGCCCTAAAGTAAATAACACACATGGTCTGAGCCCTACAAATGGAAGAGAAAGCTTGCTCCACACAGCTGGTCAAGTAGCCACAAGCTGGTTTCTTGCAGCATTAGTATGATGAGGTACAAATCTCTAAATTCTAATATCAATAGGAAAACATGAAGAGTTTCTTCAAGGAAATCACAGTATTCAAGATGCTTTCCAAATGATAACTGCAACCACGGAACATGGGGACTACAGAAGAATTCATTGATGCAAAGAAGACACAGTAAGAGACAATTGTAGAAAAAGAAAGGAAAGGAAACATGTTTGCAACAAAGGAAACAGTGTTCATACCCCTCCAAGCTAAAGCTGCTTTAATGACTCATATGATTGTTTATATAACCGTACTTCAAGGTATAGCATCAACTGAGTCTGCCTTTTGCAAACAGGGAACGAAAATGCAGCACTACGACTCTTGGCAAGCCTTCAGTACATTTATGCCCTGTCCTTCTCTGGCATCTTCATTATGAAGGCATTATATGGAAGAAATTCTCTGTGTACGATAACCATTCAGAAACGATAGATGAGGGAAGACCACAGAAGAAGCACTTGACAGTTTCTTCAACTCTATAAAAACAAGAGTAAAAAACATTACTTTAGGAGCCAGGTGGGGATCATGCCAGCTTAAACTAGAGTCAAAGAAATGGAGTTTACAGGGATGGAAAAACTTAAAATATTTCATATGGAAAATCTTTAGACATTTTTCAATATTCTGCTGTGTGATTATATAACAGGAAAAAATAAGACCTTTTATGTTTACGTTCAGTAAATCCAACCGCACAAGTACTGCGGTTACTTCTTTCTTTCTTATCTATTCTACTCTCTCTCCCACACCAGTATGAGATTCAAGGCAAGAGATCAGTTCAAGAGGCCAAGTTTTAGACTCTGTCTAGACTCCATCTCAAAGGTTCTCTGGCAAAACAATGTTCACAGGTGGCTTGTTTTTCCAGGGGAAATGTTTATAAGTACATATTATTTAACTTCAAATTACAGATCATTTAGAATAAACAATCATTTCTCTGGTCATAAATAACTAATGAAGCTGCCTTTTCCCTCAGCATCTCATTCTTGGAATCCTGAAATGACTGCAGAGTGTATTCCCCTAATAGAAACCTGCGTGCCACATCTAACAGGCACTGAGACCATCTTTACACTTGAAACCGAAAGGAGTCATTGGAAGCTTCTGTTTTCTGAATGAAAATTTCAGAGAAAGTACTATTCACTGCTGAATACATATGAAGACAATAAGGAAAAAGAGGAGATGAGGTAGGCCAGTATAATGAGTTCATATTTGAATACAGATATGTACCAAAAAGCAACTTTTCAGTTGATGAATGACTGCATTATGATTCTGGCCTCCTAAGCTTACGTTGCTTAGTGATATCACCACTAATGTTTGTGTAACTGGACTCCATGATGTTCACACAGCGGCAAGGTCACATAAGACTGTACTTCTCAGATTACACGGTGAATGCTATATATATCAACAAATGACATGTAATGTGGGTAAGAAGATGTGTTCATCTGGGCCTCAGAGGAGGTGTCAGGCTAGCAATTTCAGTCATGGACTGAGATGAGGAAAAGGGAAGGTGACTTGGGACCCAATAACACAGGATTCTCTGATTAATACTCAAGAAGAAGGTTGTGAACGAGCCAATAAGGGAAGCCGGGAGGGCTGATGAGATGACTCAGGAAGTTAAAGCACTTGCCATCAAGCCTGATAAACTGACTTTGATCCC